GTCTATAGGGCTTTAGGAATAGATGGCATGCGTAGAAAGTATGATATGTGCCATCTTCTTTCGCTGGACGATATACGTCGTCTGGGCAGGTCTAAAACCTTGACAAATCGATGGCATATGATATAAGAGGAAGGGGGTGTGAATGGGGTGGGAATGATTTTTTGGGGGAGCGGGTGGTCTATTGACAAGTAGATGGCATCTGCGAAAAACTGTTTACCACAAGCCCCAGACCACTTGGCCCTAAACCCTAAACTCTAAGTTCCAAACTCGAAAGCACACCCTCATGTAAAATCTTCCACGATTGCGGGCCTTCGCCTTGGGTTGGGCAGGTGCTGCCTGCATGACAAGCAGGGAATAGGGCTCGGGAATAATTAGGCCTTGAGTTGGTGGATTGTGGGTCTTGGGTTTTGGTGTAGGCTTCGAGTTTGGGCTTTTTGGGGGCTTCAGGTTTCGGTCTGTTTGGGGGGATTTGGGCTTGAGAGTTTGGGGCACAGTCTTCCATCATGGCTCTGGCTTCCTCAATTGGCCGGCAGACTCCCTTGAATGCAGTATGACCCCCGATATGACTTAGGCTCTTCACAGAGGGAATCACATAATATCATAACACTGAATCGCTTGGCCGTATTTCTGACAGTTTTCATCGCAACTCTCCATGCGCCGTGGCTTCGGGTTTTCAGTTATGGCTTGGGCACATGCCCATGCCCCAAACTCCTTCACCTCTGAACCTCAACCCCCAAGAAGCCTGAACCCCAAACAAAAAACCTACCCCAAAACGCAAACTGTTGAACACTCAAAGAAACTCCATGGCCTGTGGAGGTGCGGCGGGTGGAGGCTCCTGACGAAGCTCGGTTGGCTTGTCGAATGTAACGGAGCCTACTTAGAGGCCCAGGGGACTTACATAGTAAGTAGTAGGGTTCCCGAAAGAGTTCCTGAAAATGAATCTGTAAGGTTTCTAGAAGGGTGGGGGTTAGGGTTAGGTAGGGGCGCTTGCGACTTTGTAAGTAGGTTATAGATACCTGCATTACTACATGGAGATACCCCAATTAAAACCGTTACTAAGTCCCCTGGGCCTCTAAGTAGTCGTCTAGTCGGGCCTCCACTTATAGTGTAAGGCACAGAGAGACTCCAAAACCCCTGAATTAAGGAATATACCTTAACATATAGTAGGACCCATAATGATTTTAGGTATATCCTTAAGAGGTTTTGGAGGCTCTGGGTACCCTAAACGCGATAGATCCCTTGAAGGATCCCCTAAAGGAGCCCTAACCCTAGGAATTCCTTAGTTTAGAGGAATTTTGGAGTCTCTTAAGGCAGCTCTCAGCTCAAAAAAGTGTAGGCAAAAGCTCGCCTTGTGATTCTCTATTAAGGCCCATTTAACTATAGAGCCCCCGACCCCGCCACCCCCTTACCCCGATTAAGGGTCCCTATGAGTGATTCTAAGAAGCACCAGGACCCTCCCCACTGGCCCCTTAACGGAGCCTTGATGGCCCGCCCTTCATAGTGGGTATAATGGAGCCCTTATGGTCCTTAACAGTGCGTAGAATGGACCCTTATGGCTCCTAGTAGTGGGTATTAAGGGTAGATTAGGGGGTAGTTGGGGGTCTAAGCAGGTCATTCATATTGCTTCGAAGCCTGCGGAGGTTGATAAAGTCTTATATTAGTAGAAGCCAGAAAGTTGTCCTCATACACTTAAGGTAAAGTATAAGGGATACCAGCACTAATCCTCCCAAGGCCATATTCCAACTTTCTGGCTTCTACTATAGCCTGGTGTAGATTTCCAGTGGAAAGCTGAAGCTTTGATTATTTCTGCCAGTCGTCTTCTCTGAATTCCTAAACCCAAAACCCTAAACAGTGAGTACTACCCCGAGCAACTCGTCGGAAAGTCTGTATCCCTTAGCCCTAAACCCCTAAACTCTAAAGCCCTAAACTCTAATCCCGAAATGCTGCGAACCAGCCCGAAGAGCCTCCAAAACCCCTTAACTAAGGAATATACCTTCAAAGCATAGTAGGATCCATAATGATTTAAGGTATATTCCTTAGGAGGTTTTGGAGGCTCTGGGAACCCTAAGCTCTAAACCCTATAGATCCCTTAAACCCTAGAAATTCCCTTAAACCCTAAACCCTTAAAGCCTAAACCCTAAACCCTAAGCCCTAAACTCTTAATCCTAAACCCTGAACCCTTAAACCCTGAACCCTAAACCCTCAAACCCTAAACTCTTAAACCCTAAACCGTTGAAGGGATATTGAAGCCCTGCCTGCATCGGCGGAGGCGGCGCCTGACCAAAGCCTTGCGGGGCCGCCTCCGTCGTGGCAGTGCCAAGGGAGCTCTTACTGCCTCCTCTTACGGTTCAGGGCCGTCTTAGGGCTTAGAGTTTAAGGCTTATATATATATATATATATACATGGGTTTAATTCGGGCAGTCATTATAGGGTTCAGGGTGCATATATATATATATATATATATGTATATATATACACATATATACATATACACCCACCTTGTGCTTATGCTGGTAATTGCATGGTGCGGCCAGGAAAAGTTCATCAGCACAGGCCTGGGCGGCTGCCTGTGCCTGCGCAGCCTGGAGAAGTTCAGAGCAGAGTCGCTGGTCGGATTTGGAGATTCACGAATTTCGGCACAGGGCTCCTTGCGAAGTCCGGCCGTCCTTTATATAATGTTCAGATGGCTCTAGATCTGCAGCCCCCATTTCATGATTTTTGGCTTGCGTGGAATGGGTGTAGGGATCGAAGCTTTCTTGGGATGCGCTATTCCAGTTCCGATTCCCTGTCAGATTTATACAAAGTTAAAATCCCCCACCCCAGATTGTTGGCACCGACATAATGTGAAACAGGGACAGGGGCCTGGCCTCAACTCGTAGAATTAGGGTTTGTGCTGGGGGGGGGGGGGGGGGGGGTAGATCATGCTATTTTAAGGCAGGCATGCTAATTTCAACCATTCAGGCGCAGTGTCGGCCCCTACAGTAAAATGTTCACCCAATCCAGTGAAAACAACATGAGGGGGGTACAACCACTGAGAAATGGGAACCTTACGAATGTGGATTCATGATATGTTAAGGGTTTCGCCGGTAACAATAACACTTACACGATGCACAAGAGTAATATCGACAACAGTCAGTAAACTGGCTACCTGCATCGACATATGCATGTGTAGAATATATTTGGTGATGTTGATGTGTATGTACACCCATGCATGATGCATCCATCCATCCATCCATTCATCCATCCATGAACCCATGCATCCATCCATCCATCCATCCATTCATCCATCCATCCATGAACACATCCATCCATCCATCCATCCATCCATCCATCCATCATCATCCATCCATCCATGAACGCATGCATCCATCCATCCATCCATCCATCCTCCCTCCCTCCCTCCATCCATCCATATGTACATATATACAATCAAAAAGTGTGAGGGTGCGGTGCTGTCGCCTGCGCCTGAGCGAAGCGGTGTGCCTGGACCTGATGCTGGGCGTGAGCCTCGGGCTGCAAGAGTCCAGAGAGCCCTAAGGCTTACCTGGGGATCCCCAAACCTGCCGTTTGAAGGGTTCTACCCTTTAAACAAAAGGTCATAATCTATTATGTTGTAGGGTTTGGGGTGACGGGTAGGCTTTAGAGTTCAGCTTTCGTTTGATGAGTTGTTGTGAGACGGTTTAAGTCTTGAATCATAAACCACGCGGAGCGCCAGACCTGCAAGACAACCGAGACGCCTTCTGCCGTACACTCTTCATAGCTCCTATACGACGCAAAATGCGAACCCTAACCACGTACACCCCTAAAAAAACCCTAAACCCCTATCAACCCTAAACCCTCATCAACCGTGTTCCGAGATGCACTGAGGTCCCCAAGCCATCGCGCCCCGAAGCCGACCATTTCACCCAAAAACCGCAAAACGTTTGAGCCCCAAAAACCCCTACCTTACTCTCCAAAGTAGCAAAAAGTGTGGATAACCATTTTCATGGTTTCGGATCCTGGAATAAGGAGTGGTGTAATCAAAAACTGCAAAAGGGGAACCAGAAGCCCGGAAATGTGCAACAGGAGTAAACTCGACTACTCAAGCTCTATGCTCGAGCAAGCAAGAACGACATCACACCAAGCTCTACTATGGGGGTCTTTATAGTTGGGCTAGGGTTTTGGGGTATGTTTTGGTATACCATAGGAAGGAAGCCTAAGGAATTATGTTTAAAACAGTCTGCCTTCTACATAAGCCCGAAGGCTCTTGGGATTCACTTGTTCCCGCTTTCGGGCACAAGGACCATACCATCTAAGGCTCTTGGCACAAGTACAGGGGTATATGTCACTGTAAAGACTCATGCACAAACAGCACATAATCATAAGTAATGTATAATGTTTTGACAACAGAGGATATGGATGATATGGATATGCACGTACATGCATAATGACAACTTGTAACCCTAACCCTAATTACCTAATTCTTGAAGAGCTGAGCCCAGTGGCCGCATGCGCAGCTTGCGCAACTGCTGCTGCTGCCTGAAGCATCATGGTGTGCATGTCATTTATTGAGATGTGTTGGGGTCGAGGGTGCTTTCAGCTGTACTGGTGTAAACTCAAGCATGCTGCACAACTTCAGTAAGCACCTCACCTACTCCGTATCCCAGAAATGAAAACCTTGCGCGTCCTGTCCATACAAAACCAGCATGAAGCTCATGCTCAAATGGAGGCCTTATTTCTGTGACTGGGGTTATTATTCATGAACTATTCGTGAGGCCACCGTGGCACAGCTTTCGTCGAAGCAGCGAAGCTGCACTGCAAGCTTTCTTGCCCGCGTCTGAGAACGTCTGGAAGTCATGGAAACATCGGCTCGCTCTGCGACAACCGTGTTCCCATCGTAAGGACTTGCTTACTATAGGGGCCTTAATCATTAGCACAGGGTCTTGAGGTAAAACCGCCTATACTTACCATATTTATGAGGAACCCCACAACAGTGTTGAAAATGTATTTAGGCCCCTATATCACTTGCAACAGAGCGCCTTGGCGAAGCGGCCAGTGTCTTTGTTCCGGCAAACAGTCACGGGCTTGCCGCGACGCATGAACGTTTCCGACCGAAACTCAAACTCTCCGCAGAAGGCCATCTTCTCCTCATCCCTGGGCACCGGGGTTGTCGGAGTGATCTCTTCCGGTCCTTCCTCCTCCTCGTCCTCCTTCTGCTGGGAATCTGCTTCCTCATCCACGACATTCCACTGGGCCTTCGTTCCAAAACCATCCGTTTTCAGAGGGTTCTCGTCGACAACGGCAGCCATCGGATTCTTTTTCCTCGGCGCCTGTGCAGAGCTTCAGTCTGGTGCAAAGACAGGGAGCATATGGGGCTTATAGGGCTTACTAGGAGGGTCGGGGGACTTAATAACAAGGGTTGTGCGTAGGGTAACTGTAGTTATGATTACTTATAACTCCACTTAAGACACGTATAATAGCATGACCTTACTCAGTCCTAAGTTCCTCCGAGCTATGTGGACTCTGTTCCAGCGTTGAAGGCTTCAGTGCTTTCATTTTCCTCACCACAGGGCGATCAGCGGCCCCCTGGCAAAGAACGATTTCGTCCGTGACCGAACCTGCCTCCGGCTCATCGATTTTGGTGCAGCACTTCACCTTTCCATTCTTGTGATACTTGTCGCCGGGATTCCTAGGGCTGTGGCAGCGGCAAAAAACCCGCTGTCGAGTCCCAGGAACGCTAGAGCGGCATACTTAACTTGTAAAACCAAAGTTGGCGCACATTGCAGTGCGTTGAAGTAAGAAACCTCCTCCCTGCCCGAAAGCTGAAGCTGTTGCATGCTGATCTTACCTTAGGTTAGTAGGGAATGGAAGATTGGTAGTAATAGTAGTTATAGATGATTGTAATTACCCCATTCCTCCATTCCCTACTAACCAAAGGTAAGTTATGGGATGATTAAGGCCCCTATACCAAAGGACCCTTATAGACCCCTTTATAAGGCCCTTTTCGTTCCCTACTAACCAAAGGTAGGTGATGCCGAGGCTCACTTCCGGGTAGGTGCACCATGCCTTTGCGTACATCAGGCACTTGTACCCAGGTTTGGTCTCGAAGTCCGGTTCTCGGGAAGAAAAGCACGAGTTGGGTGTAGGGATTAGAGGGTTTAGGGGTTTAGGGATTAGGGTTTAGGGGTTTAGGGATTAGGGTGTAGGGGTTTAGGGATTAGGGTTTAGGGGTTTAGGGATTAGGGTTTAGGATTAGGGTTTAGAGGGTTAGGGATTAGGGTTTATGGGTGAGGGGTTGGGTTGTGTCTTGGTAGTATAGGGGTCTTAGCAATTAGAAGAGGGTTTTTGGGGCCCATTTTATTATAATCATAATGAGGACCCCCCCCAAAAAAAATAGTTGTGGGAATTATCTAAGCCCCTAGAATACACGTGCACATGCTGGCAAGCAGTCTTCTAAGCCCCTAGCCCTGAGGCTCCACAGCTGCCTCAGCGCTGCTCTCCTCTGTTGGCACCTGTGGGTTCCCCGGCGAACAAGTGACTCGACAAAGCCCAATATGTCGTGTCATCTCCCCCCTAAACCCTAAACCCTAAACACGGCCTCAATGAAACTCTCCTTCATTGGCACCTGGCAGCAAGTCCAAGGAATCTGCTGGACAACAGCAAGAGCAGACGTAAGGCACCGGTAAACTCCGGAACCAGTTAATATAGGGGCCTTAATAATTAGAATAGGGTTTTGGGGGCCTATTATACTATATTTATAATAAGGAACCCCCAAACTGTATTCTCAAACATGTAGATGTATGTAGAGAAGCCGCCAATCTCAAAACCCTCAGCCCTAGCCCAAACCGGACCTTGGCTTCGTGATGAATGGACTCCTGCGGCTTCACGGCGTTCCGGATTGAGACGATGAGGCTTACTATGCAGGTGCTACAGGGATCGTGATATATGACTGGACCCTAGAAAACCTTCCTCTTTGGAGTTCCCTATTGTGATGCATGTCCGTATATAAGTCCTTCAAAAGGTAGGCTATGTGGGGTCCAGGTAAGGGTTAAGACAAATTGCACAAATAGAGGGAGGAGCGGCTTCAAATCAAAGCCATGCGAGTCAGAAGCCGCATCGGCCAGAAAGCTCAATCCTTACCTACTCAACCTAAGCTTTCTCTGGCTTCGTGGCTGGATCGTATCCGGAGTCATCTGATTCAGTTAACCCCCAGACCTTCCAATATCCGTTAACTGAGTCATATACACCCCAACATATTAAGGACCCCGCTAAAAGTTTAAAGTGTATTCTGTAATTAAGGGGCATTGGAAGGTCGAAGAAGGGTAGAAACATGGAGGCTTCGGGGCTTGGCATCCTGGGCGCGCGAAGACGCCTTCAAGGTGTTGCAGAAGCAAACTCAAGAAAAGTAAACTTCTAATGAGGGCTCTTGGGATGGATATTGAACTATAGCTTGGGCTTTAGCCTAGTTGTTGAACAGGTTCTTATGTCAAAACAATGAGCCCCAAGTTTGGAGCTACAGAGAGGCCCCAAGAAGAAACACACATGTGCGAGGTCGTCCTCAACACGTGCGGCTGCATTTCCAACTGCCACCAGCGCCTGGTTTGGGTTTAGGACCTATATATCTCTCTAAATATAGATATATGCATACATATGTGTATATATATATATATATATATATGTATATATACATACATTAAATATACCTATATATATATATATGTGTGTGTGTGTGTGTGTCTGTGTGTGTGTGTAAGGTTGCTGTGTTGCGGATGTCGTGTTTCCAGCGTCTGTAGATGGGGTCACGTCACGTGGAAAAGCCGCTTTATAGTAGCCCATTAGTGTAGCCTTTTGTAGTAGCCCTTAGCCCTTGTAGAAATCCTCGCATTTACCCTAATTCCTAATCGTAACCCTTTTCGCACCCTTGAGTACTCGGGATAAAATTCCAAGAGGTTTCAGGGGGCCCATGCACACCATCTCAAGATATACGTCCGCGACCTCGGACCTTCGGAAATATCCCAAATTTACGTGTACATATCATAGGGGTTTTTAGTTTAGGGATTCAAAATCTCGGGTTTAGGGATTCCTTTCAAGGCATTTAGATGCCCTTCCTGATGGGCCTCCCCGACCTCGAAGCGTCGTGAGCAAAACCTCCCGGCCCGCCGTGGAAAACGCCGCACCGGAAGCCCCGAGCTCGAAAACACCCACACCCGAAGCCCGAAATCTCCCAATGCCCGAGAACCGTGAAATTCGAGTCAGCAAGACCCAACCCCACACTCAAATGGACCAAGAACAGAGCCCAAACAAAAGTCCACTACTTTCTGAGTAGACTCGACTCAAACGGCCAACTTGCCGAGTTAGCGCCTCCAGTAGGCGCTCCATACGAGGGCCATAGGATCGAGCCTACCAGGCTCTTGTGGTGTTCTCGCAAAGACTCCGATAATTTCCTGAATTGTGAGATTTTGGAGTCTCTGGGTTGTTGGCCTTGAGTGGGTTCTTGTTTTGCTTCTGGATTAGAAGGAGTCCTGTCGGGGTTGCTTGTGGCTTCGCAGACTTTACGGAATCCTAGTCGGGCTTATGGGGAATTGTAGCTTCTTTGGAACCCGGGAACATAGAAACAAATGCTAATATATTGGTCTCAATCACTAGAATGCAAATTTGGACGAAACCACTGGAAGGATTTAAACAATGAGCATTGTTACTATTCTTCCGACGCCTAAAGTATTTTAGTAGATCAAAGCAGTTTTGACAGAGGGTCTATGGAATCCGTGCTGATCGCTTGTACACCTGACGCCAAATTAAATATTTGACTATGTCACAGTCCCTAGCCGCGAAGTTCTTATAAGATTCCAGGAGCTAGGAATCATGTGCAAGTCCTCCTTCGCACTGCACCCAAATCCCCAAAACCCAAACCCCCAAAACCCAAACCCCCAAACGCAAAAACCATCCAAAACTCAAACCCCAGAGACCCTAAACTCCTAAACGCTAAACCCCAAAATGCTAAAACAGAAAGAGGCCTCCGACCCTTCGTCCTTCGTGGTCGTCGGCAAGGGCCTCTTGCAAGGAGGGCTTCAAGACTCGACTTGTAGCGCGTTAGGGAGAAAGGGCCTTTCGTCTATCCGGCACAGAAGGGCTGTGAGGTTTGTGGAAATAGCTCGCACCCCCCTTGCCCAGTTAGGGCTATGGCACCACCCACCTGCCCAAACTGGGCAAGGGGTTCCATGTAGAATTGGGTTAAGGCTTGTTCAGGGCCAGGGTACAGCTGAGCAGTTCCGTCAAAACCAGAGACTTCGGCAATGAAGGACCCGATAAATTGGCAAGGTTTGCTGAAGCGCGAGTGCAAGGCAGTTCTGATGGGAAGCGTGCTCGTGTTGCTGCGTCTCCTGCAGCTGCGAGTTTGTTGCCTTGAAGACATTAGCGATGTAGTCACGGAGACGAAAATCTGGCGCCACATGGCACCACACATCCCAAGCATAGAGGCATAGAGGGTCTTTTATGAGTTGGCATGAAATTACCCGCGCTATTCCCACGACCGCCCAGCATTGAAGGCTGGAGCAAGGAAATCTCACACCCAAAGCTACTCAATGGCTCCTAAACCCAAAGCCCTAAGCCCTAAACCCCCCTAAACCCTAAGCCGCGTTCGTGGATTCTTGCGACCAGGGTGCGATGGAAGGGACACCATGCCGGCAGTTGTGGTGGTCTTTGTGGTGGCAGACGTCAGAGCGACGGCGTCCTGTCTTCTTTAATCTTACCTTTGGTTAGTAGGGAATGGAAGAATGGTGGTAATAGTAGTTATAATTCTACCCCGGTCCGCCATTCGCTACTAACCAAAGGTAAGTAATGATTTGGTTGCTTGCCACACAAACCTCGACAAGAGCACGACCAACCTGCGAAACCTCAGAGCCACCTAACCTGGGGATCTAAGGACTCATATATATATATATATATATATATTAAGGCTTTTGGGCCCAAAGACCATACTACAAAAGGCTTTCGGGCTATTTTGATCCCGAGGGTAAACCCACGCGCTACACCACACCCATCAACTCTTACCTCCTCCCCTGTTTGGGGCTACCTGCCACACCGACTCACTTCCAATGGCCTCCGCCTCTTCGTCCGTCGTCGGAACATGCCTGCCGAAGGCTACATACCCAAGGAACACACGATCTGTTCCATGGAGCTGATTCTACAGTAGGAGTTCACAGACGGCAAATTCTCCCTTTGTGAAGCCAGGGTGCGGCTGGATTGGCAGCATGACAGAGGTCGTTGTGGTCTTCGTCGTGGTGGACGTCACGACGACAATGTCTGTAGCAATGTCCTGTCTTCTGTCGTCGGGTAATTGAAAAGCCACACCCTGTCAAGCTCTTCAGCACGAAACTCCAAAATGCAGCAACCACGACAACAACGACCACGACGACGAGCACGAGGACCTCAACCAGAACCAGCCAGAACCACGAGAACTACGAGAACCAGCAGAGCCAGCAGAACCAGCAGAACCCCCACCACCACCACCACCACCACCACCACCACAACCTTCACCACCAGCAGAAGAGCAAGAGCAAGAGCAAGAGCAACAGCAACCAGAATCAGAACCACGACGATGACTGCCGACCGACCAACCGACGGCCCGACCGCCCGACCGCCCGACCGACCAACCAAACACACGAACAAGCGAACCTACAACAAAACAAACCAAGCTAGCAAACAGCCCTCCACCCAAACGAGCAAACAAATAAGCAAATAAGCAATCATACAAACAAGCACGCAACTCGACAAGCAAACACGCCTGCAGGACTCAGAGACACAAACCCACCTGCTGCACTACACCACAAAATTCAATCTGTCTCGGGTGCTAGTGAAACACTTAAACCTGCCCACCTCTGCCTCTTCGTCCGTCGTCGGAACATGCCTCCATCAGGCTCGCGAATTAGGATGGGTACGGCCCCCATACAGTAACAGCCTATAATTGGGCTACTATTAATTAAGGTCCTTATATCTCTATATTATGAATATTATCCAACTGTTACTGAGTGGGGGCAGTGCCCAAGGTATAGACTGAAAGGACGATGGATTGCTTCGGTAAGAAATGATGAGGTTGCCAACCCTAAACCCTGCACGCCAAAACCTAAACCACCTACAGTCAGGGAGCCACAAGGCCCGGAGAGGGGCGCGAATCTAGCATCATGCCGAGACCCTCCATCTACCCTCTATAAGACCCTAAATGTTAGAAGCTGCCCCCACCAAGTCATAGTGACTATAAGGATTATATTAGGGCCCTATGATATTCCAATTATACCACTATTACAGGGTGGGGGCCCCTTCTAGGATGAATGCCCATTATTTGGGGCCATATACCTCTATTTAAGGGTACATGGAGGTTCCTGGAAAGGGAAAGGAGTGCTGGGCAAGGAGCTGTAGGGGTCTATGAACACAGCAGCTTAAATCCGCCGGAGCGTCAGCGTACCCGATCGTGCATAATGCGAGCCCCAGTCAGAATCTGATACGTACTCCGTATAAAACCCAAATTGATCATAGCAGCCCGAAGACTCACACGCTCGAAATGCCCGGAAGCACCACAGAAGGGGCGACGCCAAAGAAGGGGCGACGATCTATATAAGCTTCACGGAGCCAAAAAGCATCTCTTCTGCTAAGGTCTGACAGGGTCTCGTGAACAAAACTAAGATCTACCGCCTATGTCGTGAAATCTACCAAAGTTCTAAGGCGCAAGAAGACCCAAGCTCCCAAAATAGGGGCCTCGACAGTTGGAGCAATAGTTGGGTATACTGTAGTATGTAATCAATCAAAACGTCTAAACGACACTAAAGGATACTCTTACTAAGTATTCATCGCCCAATAAACGAATATAGCTATACAACTATATGAGATGAGTAGATTGCAAGCGCGGCACGACTTGACAGGCAACATCACAGAGGTTGTTGTGCTTGTCGTGGTGGTAGAGGTCACAACGTCAGCTTCCTGTCTGTCACCGTCGGTTTCAAGTGGCCAAGCTGTGTACTGTCCACTACATTAAGCCCTAAAGCCAAAACATCAACTCGATTCTTCCATGAAACCTGATGCCTAAACCCTAGAACCCAAGACCCTGAACTCCGCAGCCTGAAACGCTAAATCCCAAACCGTGAAACTGTAAACCCAAAAACCCAAAACGGCAAATCTTAAACCCTAAAGTCATTCAGAACAATCCATTTCTCCCAAACTTCGTAACGAGGATACTTTGCCGTATCCGACTGAACAGCAGCCTTAACGCATTTCGAAGGGTGTTATGCTATGCAGTTTCATACAGGGGCCTGAATGGCAAGAATGTCTTCTGCCACTTGCTTTAAGGTTTTGATGGTAATACGGGTGCTCTCACAATAGGAACGGGGATTGTACCATGGCTACGACTCCTGAGGCGTAACTAAGAAAACCGCGACCCCTACTGGGGCTCTTGATGCGGATGGCACATGGCGATTCAGATCCAGGGGTGTCTTCATCAGATTCACGATTAAAATAGGACTGTGTTTGGGGGGGGGATGTTGAACTTACTCATAATATAGGAACTGTACTTGATCGTGCTGGTACTTGTAACTATTCGTTTAGCCGGAAAGCCTGGGAATGAAAGGAATTTCTACGAACGTCCCGGAACATCCATCCTTGCATTTGCAAGAACGCCGAACCCGTCACCGCAAAACACACTCGATGTAAAGTTTCAGCGCATCTTAACTGAGACAGTTGTTGGCATCGCCAAGTTAATTAATAAATCAACGAATGATGAATAACATACACGCTTGTGCAATCTTCTGCATAAAGATGCATGCATCTTTTGTGTGCCACATGTCTACACACACACACACACACACATAGCCTCCGTCTTCTCAGTCTTGATGCAACACATCACTTTTCCATTCTTGCGATACTGCTGGCCGGGATTCCTCAGAGTGCCAGGCTGGTATATGATGAGGAAGCATTGTCGAACAGATCTGAATGCATCAATTGCCGAATTGCTGTGGCACATCACGAAAGAATAGGGAATAGGGGCACTCCCAGCACGACCTTCAAACGCCGTCGGTTGACGGCTTGCTGCCAAGCCTCACTGCCGGCGCGATGCACCACGCCTTTGCCTGCAGCTCGCACTTGTACCCCGGCTTGATCGCGAAGTCGGGTTCTGAGTGCGAACAGCAGAAGACCATCGAAAGTGTCTGCTTTGCACAAGTGCACCTGCTCGCAAGCAATGTTCTAAGTCGCAAACCCTCAGGCTCCACAGCTGCCTCAGTGGTGTCTATCTTTTTGTTCGTCTCCTCTTTCGGCGGTGCCTGTCAGCTGTCAGGGAGATCTCCGTGCATGACATGAACTCAGTACAAACAGGGGGGGCATGAGGCATCAAAGAGCTCCGGCCAACATGTCTCTCAACACGGCGCGACATAACTGCAAGCGATCCTCAGTGGTAGTCTCCTCTTTTGGCATCACCTGTCAGGGAGATCCTTGTGCATCACATGAAATCAGTGCAAGGGAGCATGAGGCATCAAAGAGTTCCGGCCAACATTGTGGCATGTCGCTGAACACGACAGAAAACAACTTAAAGTGAGCATACAGAGGCAACATGTCACACTCTCTGAGCACAGGCCTCAGTGGAATCTTCCTGGGATTCTCGCTCCATTGGGCTCTCCGCCGTCACCGCCTGACAACGGATAGAGGGCTCCAGCTGCAGTTTCTCAGGTCCATATGTGACATCATGTGACATCATATTATATGTTGCGCTGAGTTTGCTCGACTGAGAACCCTGAACAGCACCTGCAACTTCATGCTTCGCCAAACCTGGCATAGATCAAATCCAGAACTGACCCTAAAATCACCGAATGCCGCCAGCCTCCGTCGCCTCGAGCTTGCTGCAGCACATCACCTTCCCATTCTTGCGATACTGCTGGCCGGGATTCCTCAGTCTGTGGCTGTCATATGACGGCTGTCAGCTACCAGGCTCCGGAGGAGGCATCAAAAGTGCTTCGGCACGTCACGAAAGAATCGGGAACAGGGGCACTCCCAGCACGACCTTCAATCACCGTCGGTCGCCGGCTTGCTGCCAAGCCTCACTGCCGGCGGGCTGCACCACGCCTTTGCCTGCAGCTCGCACTTGTACCCCGGCTTGATCGCGAAGTCGGGTTCTGAGTGCGAACAGCAGAAGACCATCGAAAGTGCCCGCTTTGCACAAGTGCAAGTGCTCGCAAGCAATGTTCTAAGTCGCAAACCCTCAGGCTCCACAGCTGCCTCAGTGGTGTCTATCTTTTTGTTCGTCTCCTCTTTCGGCGGTGCCTGTCAGCTGTCAGGGAGATCTCCGTGCATGACATGAACTCAGTACAAACAGGGGGGGGCATGAGGCATCAAAGAGCTCCGGCCAACATGTCTCTCAACACGGCGCGACATAACTGCAAGCGATCCTCAGTGGTAGTCTCCTCTTTTGGCGTCACCTGTCAGGGAGATCCTTGTGCATCACATGAAACCAGTGCAAGGGAGCATGAGGCATCAAAGAGTTCCGGCCAACATTGTGGCATGTCGCTGAACACGACAGAAAACAACTTAAAGTGAGCATACAGAGGCAACATGTCACCCTTTCTGAGCACAGGCCTCAGTGGAATCTTCCTGGGATTCTCGCTCCATTGGGCTCTCCGCCGTCACCGCCTGACAACGGATAGAGGGCTCCAGCTGCAGTTTCTCAGGTCCATATGTGACATCATGTGACATCATATTATATGTTGCGCTGAGTTTGCTCGACTGAGAACCCTGAACAGCACCTGCAACTTCATGCTTCGCCAAACCTGGCATAGATCAAATCCAGAACTGACCCTAAAATCACCGAATGCCGCCAGCCTCCGTCGCCTCGAGCTTGCTGCAGCACATCACCTTCCCATTCTTGCGATACTGCTGGCCGGGATTCCTCAGTCTGTGGCTGTCATATGACGGCTGTCAGCTACCAGGCTCCGGAGGAGGCATCAAAAGTGCTTCGGCACGTCACGAAAGAATCGGGAACAGGGGCACTCCCAGCACGACCTTCAATCACCGTCGGTCGCCGGCTTGCTGCCAAGCCTCACTGCCGGCGGGCTGCACCACGCCTTTGCCTGCAGCTCGCACTTGTACCCCGGCTTGATCGCGAAGTCGGGTTCTGAGTGCGAACAGCAGAAGACCATCGAAAGCGCCCGCTTTGCACAAGTGCACCTGCTCGCAAGCAATGTTCTAAGTCGCAAACCCTCAGGCTCCACAACTGCCTCAGTGGTCGTCTCCTCTTTCGGCGGTGCCTGTCAGCTGTCAGGGAGATCTCCGTGCATGACATGAACTCAGTACACACAGGGGGGGGGCATGAGGCATCAAAGAGCTCCGGCCAACATGTCTCTCAACACGGCGCGACATAACTGCAAGCGATCCTCAGTGGTAGTCTCCTCTTTTGGCGTCACCTGTCAGGGAGATCCCTGTGCATCACGTGAAATCAGTGCAAGGGAGCATGAGGCATCAAAGAGTTCCGGCCAACATTGTGACATGTCGCTGAACACGGCAGAAAACAACTTAAAGTGAGCATACAGAGGCAACATGTCACCCTTTCTGAGCACAGGCCTCAGCGGAATCTTCCTGGGATTCTCGCTCCATTGGGCTCTCCGCCGTCACCGCCTGACAACGGATAGAGGGCTCCAGCTGCAGTTTCTCAGGTCCATATGTGACATCATGTGACATCATATTATATGTTGCGCTGAGTTTGCTCGACTGAGAACCCTGAACAGCACCTGCAACCAAATCCTTCGCCGAGCCTGGCATAGATCAAATCCCGAACTGACCCTACAATCACCGAATGCCGCCAGCCTCCGTCGCCTCGAGCTTGCTGCAGCACATCACCTTCCCATTCCTGCGATACTGCTGGCCGGGATTCCTCAGTCTGTGGCTGTCATATGACGGCTGTCAGCTACCAGGCTCCGGAGGAGGCATCAAAAGTGCTTCGGCACGTCACGAAAGAATCGGGAACAGGGGCACTCCCAGCACGACCTTCAATCACCGTCGGTCGCCGGCTTGCTGCCAAGCCTCACTGCCGGCGGGCTGCACCACGCCTTTGCCTGCAGCTCGCACTTGTACCCCGGCTTGATCGCGAAGTCGGGTTCTGAGTGCGAACAGCAGAAGACCATCGAAAGTGCCCGCTTTGCACAAGTGCACCTGCTCGCAAGCAATGTTCTAAGTCGCAAACCCTCAGGCTCCACAGCTGCCTCAGTGGTGTCTATCTTTTTGTTCGTCTCCTCTTTCGGCGGTGCCTGTCAGCTGTCAGGGAGATCTCCGTGCATGACATGAACTCAGTACAAACAGGGGGGGGCATGAGGCATCAAAGAGCTCCGGCCAACATGTCTCTCAACACGGCGCGACATAACTGCAAGCGATCCTCAGTGGTAGTCTCCTCTTTTGGCATCACCTGTCAGGGAGATCCTTGTGCATCACATGAAATCAGTGCAAGGGAGCATGAGGCATCAAAGAGTTCCGGCCAACATTGTGGCATGTCGCTGAACACGACAGAAAACAACTTAAAGTGAGCATACAGAGGCAACATGTCACCCTTTCTGAGCACAGGCCTCAGTGGAATCTTCCTGGGATTCTCGCTCCATTGGGCTCTCCGCCGTCACCGCCTGACAACGGATAGAGGGCTCCAGCTGCAGTTTCTCAGGTCCATATGTGACATCATGTGACATCATATTATATGTTGCGCTGAGTTTGCTCGACTGAGAACCCTGAACAGCACCTGCAACTTCATGCTTCGCCAAACCTGGCATAGATCAAATCCAGAACTGACCCTAAAATCACCGAATGCCGCCAGCCTCCGTCGCCTCGAGCTTGCTGCAGCACATCACCTTCCCATTCTTGCGATACTGCTGGCCGGGATTCCTCAGTCTGTGGCTGTCATATGACGGCTGTCAGCTACCAGGCTCCGGAGGAGGCATCAAAAGTGCTTCGGCACGTCACGAAAGAATCGGGAACAGGGGCACTCCCAGCACGACCTTCAATCACCGTCGGTCGCCGGCTTGCTGCCAAGCCTCACTGCCGGCGGGCTGCACCACGCCTTTGCCTGCAGCTCGCACTTGTACCCCGGCTTGATCGCGAAGTCGGGTTCTGAGTGCGAACAGCAGAAGACCATCGAAAGTGCCCGCTTTGCACAAGTGCAAGTGCTCGCAAGCAATGTTCTAAGTCGCAAACCCTCAGGCTCCACAGCTGCCTCAGTGGTGTCTATCTTTTTGTTCGTCTCCTCTTTCGGCGGTGCCTGTCAGCTGTCAGGGAGATCTCCGTGCATGACATGAACTCAGTACAAACAGGGGGGGGGCATGAGGCATCAAAGAGCTCCGGCCAACATGTCTCTCAACACGGCGCGACATAACTGCAAGCGATCCTCAGTGGTAGTCTCCTCTTTTGGCGTCACCTGTCAGGGAGATCCTTGTGCATCACATGAAACCAGTGCAAGGGAGCATGAGGCATCAAAGAGTTCCGGCCAACATTGTGGCATGTCGCTGAACACGACAGAAAACAACTTAAAGTGAGCATACAGAGGCAACATGTCACCCTTTCTGAGCACAGGCCTCAGTGGAATCTTCCTGGGATTCTCGCTCCATTGGGCTCTCCGCCGTCACCGCCTGACAACGGATAGAGGGCTCCAGCTGCAGTTTCTCAGGTCCATATGTGACATCATGTGACATCATATTATATGTTGCGCTGAGTTTGCTCGACTGAGAACCCTGAACAGCACCTGCAACTTCATGCTTCGCCAAACCTGGCATAGATCAAATCCAGAACTGACCCTAAAATCACCGAATGCCGCCAGCCTCCGTCGCCTCGAGCTTGCTGCAGCACATCACCTTCCCATTCTTGCGATACTGCTGGCCGGGATTCCTCAGTCTGTGGCTGTCATATGACGGCTGTCAGCTACCAGGCTCCGGAGGAGGCATCAAAAGTGCTTCGGCACGTCACGAAAGAATCGGGAACAGGGGCACTCCCAGCACGACCTTCAATCACCGTCGGTCGCCGGCTTGCTGCCAAGCCTCACTGCAGGCGGGCTGCACCACGCCTTTGCCTGCAGCTCGCACTTGTACCCCGGCTTGATCGCGAAGTCGGGTTCTGAGTGCGAACAGCAGAAGACCATCGAAAGTGCCCGCTTTGCACAAGTGCAAGTCCTCGCAAGCAATGTTCTAAGTCGGAGACGCTCAGGCTCCACAACTGCCTCAGTGGTGTCTATCTTTTTGTTCGTCTCCTCTTTCGGCGGTGCCTGTCAGCTGTCAGGGAGATCTCCGTGCATGACATGAACTCAGTACACACAGGAGGGGGCGGCATGAGGCAGCAAAGAGCTCCGGCAAACATGTCTCTCAACACGGTGCGACATGACTGAAAGCGATCCTCAGTGGTAGTCTCCTCTTTTGGCGTCACCTGTCAGGGAGATCCCTGTGCATCACATGAAGTCAGTGCAAGGGAGCATGAGGCATCAAAGAGTTCCGGCCAACGTTGTGACAGGTCGCTGAACACGACAGAAAACAACTTAAAGTGAGTATACAGAGGCAACATGTCACCCTCTCTGAGCACAGGCCTCAGTGGAATCTTCCTGGGATTCTCGCTCCATTGGGCTCTCCGCCGTCACCGCCTGACGACGGATAGAGGGCTCCAGCTGCAGTTTCTCAGGTCCATATGTGACATCATGTGACATCATATTATATGTTGCGCTGAGTTTGCTCGACTGAGAACCCTGAACGGCACATGCAACCAAATGCTTCGCCAAGCCTGGCATAGATGATGCAGGGTTGCCACACCCCCCCTCCCCCCGCCCCCCTGTGGTGCGGGGCCTGTGGTGGTACTCTTTTTGCCGCAACGTTCTTATGTGTTACTCCTTGTCTTCCCTCTTGCTGTGGCACCGGTGATACTGCTCATGGTGTTGTGCTGCTCCAGACTCGGGACATGAGTCGACAATCAGACCATGCTCAACATCATCCTTGTCGTCGTCATCTTCATCATTACTGCGCCGGGCCGATAGTTCGACCCACTAGCCTCAACATTCTTTACAACACATGGGCCTCCACCCTCTTCCCCATAGACTCCTAACACAAGGGAGCCTTGGGGCCTCCGCCGGAACTAAAAAGTATTATAAATTTTAAAACGGCGTAGTAATTACTCCGCTGGCCTGCGTAGGGTAAACGGCACTTTGAGGTACTCCGCTACTCCGCAAGAGCTTGCATGTAAGATGATGCACAAGTGGGTCGAAACTTTCGGCCCGGCGATGCCTTCTGAATCGTTTTTTGGACGGGGATGTCTGTCTAGGGGACCTGAAGGAGGTCATTAGGTCACACAGCAACAAGCAACAAGTTTGGCGAGGTTTGCTGAACAGAAAGGTCCCGGTGAGGCAGCGTCAATTTTGGGTGCCAGAGTCCAGCCCAAGCAACCCCAGGGTGAAAGTGTTCGGTTTTGCTTTCACCAGGACTGCAAAGGAGGGGACTCTTGCCTCGAAAATGGAGGCTGCGCCGGGCCGATAGTTCGACCCACTAGCCTCAACATTCTTTACAACACATGGGCCTCCACCCTCTTCCCCATAGACTCCTAACACAAGGGAGCCTTGGGGCCTCTGCCGGAACTAAAAAGTATTAAAATTTTAAAACGGCGTAGTAATTACTCCGCTGGCCTGCGTAGGGTAAACGGCACTTTGAGGTACTCCGCTACTCCGCAAGAGCTTGCATGTAAGATGATGCACAAGTGGGTCGAAACTTTCGGCCCGGCGATGCCTTCTGAATCGTTTTTTGGACGGGGATGTCTGTCTAGGGGACCTGAAGGAGGTCATTAGGTCACACAGCAACAAGCAACAAGTTTGGCGAGGTTTGCTGAACAGAAAGGTCCCGGTGAGGCATCGGGAGGACAAAAGTTTTGACCTACTGGATCTGTCTTGTCTTAAGACGTCTTGCGGAGTAGCGGAGTACCGAGAAGTGCGATTTACGTGGCCTGGCCAGCGGAGTATTTTATACCCCGTTTTAAAATTATGCTACTTTAATGTTCCGGAGGAGTAGCCGCTTGGTCCTGCTTCCCAAAGAATCTTCTTAGGCTGTTAATTGATAGGATATATACTATCCTATTATAGGATATATAGGCTATTTATAAATAGCCTAAATAGTCTATTATAGGATATGTAAATATCCTAAAATAGACTAATTTTCTATGTCTTGAAATGCCATCGTATTGGCATTGAGCTGCAAGGCCACAATAAGTTGCTTGCATCAGTGCCTTCACTTGGCATGTGAAAGGGTCAGCAGGAAGCCAAAGGCTCCTAAGGTTGAGCTAGGATTCGTAGCGAGACAGGAAACCGAAGGCTAGATCTAGAGTAATGATCGAGAGGAACAGGAAGCCGAAGGCTCCTCTAGAGTAATGATCGACAGGAAGCCCAAGGCTCCTCTAGAGTGTTTGCATGCCTGTAGAGTGTGAGTGCTTGTTTAATGCATGTGCATATATCTGCAGCTTTTGTGCTCGAAGCTCTTAAGCTAGTGCCCTTCGAAGCCATGAGGGTGGCAGCTCTTGTGCTGCTGGTGGCCGTGTGGGGCCGTGTCGACGATGGATGGGAAGTCGTTCGCACGGCCCCTGAAGATGGTGCAGCTGGTGCTGGTGCTGCCCCGAACCAGCCGATGCAGGTGGACGAGGAGGGCCCTCCGGAAGTGCCAGTGCCGGTGCAGGCGGAAGTGATCCCCGGTGCTGGTGCTGCAGGTCCGGAAGTGCCAGTGCAGGCGGAAGTGATCCCCGGTACTGGTGCTGCAGGTCCGGAAATGCCAATGCCGATGGAGGCGGAAGTGATCGACCTGAGCTTCGAGGAATCTGCGGAGCTCCATGAGGCGGCGGAGAAAGCGAAGGCAGCCGCTGCCGCTGAGGCGGCTGAGAGGGCCAAGGCTGCCGCTGAGGCGGCTGAGAGGGCCAAGGCTGCCGCTGAGGCGGCTCAGAGGGCGAAGCTCGAAGAAGCTGAGAAAAAGAAGGCAGAAGCTCTAGCAAGGGCTCAACAGAAGACGAAGATGCACGAGGAGGCTGCCAAAAAAACTCACGAGGCAGCAGAGAGGCTAGCTGAGCTTTGCATGGCTGAAGAAGAGGCAGCAGCCCGTTTGGAGCAACTGCTGCAGCAGGCGGCCTCCAGCTCAGGCGCCACTTCAAAAATTTAGGAAGCCAATGGCTCCTTCAGCTTTATAAGTATAGATCAGGCAGCCACAGGCTCCTAAGCTCCGGTCCGGCCTGCAGGTGCTCAAAGCTCCACGTGGAGACCGGGTGCACCTGGCCCGGAGCAGACTCAAAGCCCAGGCTCGATCCCGACAAAATCTTTTAATCTAAGACAATGGCTCCTAAGCTCCTGTCCGGCCTGCAGGTTGTCAAAGCTCCACGGCTGCACCTGGCTCGGAGCAGACTCAAGGCCCAGGCTCGACCCCGACAAGTTCTAAGGCTTAATATAGGAAGCCCATGGCTCCTTCAGCTTTTAAGTAGGATGGATCAGGCAGCCACAGGCTCCTAAGCTCTGGTCCGGCCTGCAGGTTGTCAAAGCTCCCCGTGGGCAACTGGTCCGGAGCAGACTCAAGGCCCAGGCTGGACCCGGCAAAATCTAAGGCATGTAATCGATCCAGATCCCTGCTGCAGGTGCTGGAGTTCCCCCGTGGCGGCGAGCTGTTCCTGAAAGTCCACCACCGCCGCAAGGGCCGCCGCCGCAAGGGTGGCAAACTCAACCGCCGCAAGGGCCGCCGCCGCAAGGGTGGCATACTCAACCGCCGCAAGGGCCGCCGCCGTTCAGCTGGCCTCAAGGACATGCTTGGGCTCCAGGCTACCCTTGGCAGTTTCCTCAAGCATGGCCTGGAGTCACGTGGCCTCCTCCGCTAGGCTGGCCCAGCTGCACGTGGCCACAAGGTCCACTTCAAGCTCCACCTCAAGGTCCACTTCAAGCTCCACCTCAAGGTCCTCAAGCTCCACCTCAAGTTCCTCAAGCTCCACCTCAAGTTCCACTTCAAGCTCAAGGTGAAGTTCACTTTCAAGCTCAAGCACAAGCTTCACCTCGACCTCCACCTCCACCACCTCAAGTTGAACCTCAAGCTCGAGAAGCTCCACTCCCACCGCAGGAACCTCCACGTCCACAAGCTGAAGGTCGACCAGAAGCTGCTGGGTTTTCAGGTGGACAAGCTCGTGCAGGACATGGTTTAATCAGGTAGCCAGCGGCTCCTTTTTTACAGGATTTATAAATCAGGTAGCCAGCGGCTCCTTTTTTACAGGATATTGGTGGCATCGTAATGCTTGCTTCCAGGACCTCGCCTCGACCTACGATGGTGCAAAGTCTGCCATGCCCAGAGCTACTACCAGTCCGGCACATGTGTCAACCCGGCCTGCGAAGCTTAGCTTATTTTGAGACCCTAGACCCTAAACCCCTAAACCCTCAACCCTAAGGCCGAAATTTAATCCATACAGCCGAGGCATTGTACACGGGCAAACGTCCAACCACGGGGGGGTGGCGCTTAAAGCGAGGAACCCGTGGCAAGAAGCGGGCTGAGTGGTGGAGCAAGCGGCACGGAGGCCAGTGTGTTATAAATAGCAGGCAGCCTTGGGCTCCTGTAAGTATATATATATATATATATATAATAGCAGGCAGCCTCGGGCTCCTTCCTATAAGTATATATCCTATAAGTATATTATATATAATATATTATATTATATATTATATATATATGTAGATAACTCCTTAGAGTGTTGTCCCTGCCCATGCAAGTAAACCCCCCTGCAGGTGCTTCTGGCTCCAAGGGCCAGGATGACGAGGAAGATGACGATGAAGAAGAGGAAGACGATCAGACATGGGGCCCCTGGAATCCCAAAGATGGCTCGAACGGTGACAAGAACGGCGGTGGATGGGGCTCCTCTGGTGGATGGGGTTCCTCGCAAAGCTGGGGAACTCCAGCCGTGTGACCATGCAGCGAGCATAATGCACGATCGGTTCTTGCAGAAAAAAGTTTTGTGTCCGTGTTGTGTACTGTAAGTGACTTAAGGCAGGAAGCCTCAGGCTCCTTGAAGTGGTAGAGGTGCAGCAGTTATAACAGGAGCACTATATGCACCCTAAACCTTAAACCCTTAAACCGTAAAGCCCCAAACCCTAAACCCGCCTGCGAGCTTCTTGCAGTTTTTCAATAGGGCAGGAAGCCTCAGGCTCCTCAGAAGGTTTAGGACAGGAAGCCTCAGGCTCCTCAGAGGGTTTAGAACAGGAAGCCTTGGGCTCCTGAAGCTTGAAGCTAGAGTTTGACCGTGGCCGAGGATTACTGTAGCACTCTAGAGGCTCCCATGTCAGCCCAGGCCCCTTGTCATCTGCATACCGTGCTGCAGTCCTGGAGCTCAAGACAAGACGTGTTTCACCCTCGCTTGAAGCCATGAGCCAGAGTGCCTTGGACGTGTTCTTCGGTGGAAAGGGTAGTGAGCCAGAGCTCGACACTCAGCAAGAAGACACTCAAGAAGTGGAGGTAGTTCAGGAAGTCCCGGAGCCTCAAGAGCCTGAAGCTAGCGAGGTTGAGGCTGCACCCAAGGCCAAGGCCAAGGCCAAAGCCAAGGCCAAGGCCAAGGCCAAAGCCAAGGCCAAGGCAA